CGAGAACTCTTTTATATCCCGAATTTGATCAGCTGCCCTGTTCCTGAATATTTCGAACACAGCACATACCTGACGGTTGCCTTGAGTAAAACAGCATGTGCAAGCCAAAAAGCAGCCGCGCAAGTCCGAAAGACGGCACCGGCAAGACAAAAGCAAGGGATTGCCGTATGTGTGAAGGTACCACTTTTCCTGAATTAGCAATACCAAATTTTTTTCTTAAACCCCTCTATGCCGCGCACTGGTGAATGACACTCGCAAGGAAGAAAACAATTATTCAGGCGGTTTGCAAAGAGGCAGCGCACATAATCGAAGGAGCTGTAGGTACTAACTGGAGATACGCTTGCACATAGCTATGCCAAAATGTAGCCATAAAGAAACTAAAATTGACTGCCTGGGCGCCTTAGTATTCTCAATATATTTTTGTCGAAAACTGTCGTCTTTCATGAGAGGAAATAACACCTGATAAAAGTGGTGATTTTTTTCATAACTTCTCCATTGTTTTATTTTGACAGTTTTTTGGAATACAGGGTATGGATTTTGCTGACGATAAACCAGAACGTTTGATTGAATGGGTAGAAATGCAGCTGATGGCTGGTGCTGATGCAATCACCATATATCAGTATCATGTGCCTCGTAAAATGCTACAAGTTCTGGATTACTATGCCAGGAAAAAGTTGCTAACTGTGGTGAGCTTCAGTAAGAATCCGCAGTTTGAGTTTATTTAAATTTACTTTTTTATATATCTGAAATTCTCGATAGCAAACTGATCCTGGCATATGCTCTTGAGACAAATCTATCACCAAATTGCTTTGTAAAAAAGCTACCTTTGAGATAGGGACCTTCTGTCGAGGTGCCTTCACTTTGACTTGGCAAATCTGGAATATTTGGGACAGCTGTTAGTCCATAGAGCGGTTATTCACCTATTTAGTTGGTAACTTTCCCAGTTGCTTGTCTTGTGCAACATCGCCTGACGGTCATTTTGATGGCGGTCCTAACGTTTGCTTCATCTTCTGAGAAGTTGGCTTTAGGATTCTCTCCACAGATGCACTTGGCGGAGTTACGACTGCTCCAAGATGTCACTGATGTGAGTTGAGCTTTTCAGCGCCACTGATGTCATCCTTAATTTTGCCATTTCTAGACCACGATGAGATGTTTTACCGAGTAAGAAGGCTTTTTCACAGAATTCCCTTAAAATTGATTGCTCTTTCTTTATCTTTAGTTGCTAAATATGCCTAACGGATTTCTAGAGGGGATGCTAAAAAAATCGAAATTTGTGCGTATCAGTACACAGGAGATACAGTAAACCAACTAGTATAGTAAGACCTTCTTCAGGGGGCGCAGAAGGGGTGGAGTTTGTCATCAGAGTGCCGGTATCTCTATTCGTCAGTTAGAGCGTAGCACACTTTTCGTTTTTCACAACAGATAGTCCTGATGTTGTTAAAAACGGTAAGCAAAGGAAATCTAACTGAAAGCCGAGTAATAACTGAAAGTATGGAGTTCGAGGTCGAAGTGTTTGGCACAGGTGCGCCTGACTTGTGGGAGCACCTCAGTAACGCCACTAACAGAGGATGCCCATGCCACTTGTTCGGGATTTTTTGGTGTTCTTCGACATATTGTTAATGAAGCAGTTTTTAGGTGCCAGTAAATCTTCCTGGTGAATCACCAAACCAAATATCCATAAGAAGTAGCTTCATCAGGCGGAACAGACAGCAGAAACGTCGCCACGAGCTCATTCCGTACAATGATTGCCTCTACAGGTATCTATCAGTCTCAAATTTAGCTTAGGTGCAGAACGAGGCCAGAGCTGTGCTGAGTTCAGCAAGAATCCACGGGTTTTTTGAAAACGCAGTCCAAATTCTGGAGCCAGAAGGAATTAGCCATGCTAATAGCCATGTAACCGCTATGCCTAATTCCCTCCTGACGTCCAAATCGCCTAGAATGTTCACCCTGTTTTTTCCATTCTTCCTTGACACATACTTTCTCCGCAACGCATAGAACATGAAAACGCAAGTTTCTTCAGCATTGCATAGTTTAAAAAAAAAAAAAAACGACGTATATACCTAAGATTAAAAGGTGGAATTTTGACGCAGGCCTACACGACGAAACTTTTGGTCAGCTATTGTTTCACTGTCGCATGTTTCTTCTTGCCATTGATGCAGCTGGCAACTTCTCCATTTTGGGCTTATCTCATTGATATAATTTTATATCGGAACTTTCTACTGCATTGGCGACTCTTTTTGGATCCTTTTAAAATGGCCACTGTTTTTGGTGATCAGAAATTGCGAAAAAACGTTCTTCCTTCACGCAAATGCCAGATTTGGGTGCCTCGCGTAATCCGTACCAAGTCTGCATTCTTTCCTGAAACTTTGAACCTTAACCAGTAAGTGTGATATGTCATTTGTAACAAAACTATTTCTTTCAGGCATATTGACACCCACAAGTATGTATTAATTTTGGATGTTGATGAAGTGATTGTACCCTTGAAACATGATAATTGGAGTGCCATGTTAGATGAAGTAATTGCTACTGCAGAAAGTAGCACGGACTCGAAGCTAGCTGAAGTTACATCAGTATCCATCCGCAATGTATTCAAATTTCCATCAAACAACTCGATAAATCACAATGTCCCGAATTATA